TACGAGTGAAGCACACACTACGAGTGAAACACACACTACGAGTGAAACACACTACGAGTGAAACACACACTACGAGTGAAACACACACTACGAGTGAAGCACACACTACGAGTGAAACACACACTACGAGTGAAGCACACACTACGAGTGAAACACACACTACGAGTGAAGCACACACTACGAGTGAAACACACACTACGAGTGAAACACACACTACGAGTGAAACACACTACGAGTGAAACACACACTTCGAGTGAAACACACACTACGAGTGAAACACACACAACGAGTGAAGCACACACTACGAGTGAAACACACACAACGAGTGAAACACACACTACGAGTGAAACACACACTATGAGTGAAACACACACTACGAGTGAAACACACAACGAGTGAAACACACACTACGAGTGAAACACACACAACGAGTGAAACACACACTATGAGTGAAACACACACTACGAGTGAAACACACTACGAGTGAAACACACACTACGAGTGAAACACACACTACGAGTGAAACACACACTACGAGTGAAACACACACTACGAGTGAGGCACACACTACGAGTGAAACACACACTACGAGTGAAACACACACTACGAGTGAAACACACACTACGAGTGAAACACACACTACGAGTGAAACACACACAACGAGTGAAGCACACACTACGAGTGAAACACACACTACGAGTGAAACACACACAACGAGTGAAGCACACACAACGAGTGAAACACACACTACGAGTGAAACACACACTACGAGTGAAGCACACACTACGAGTGAAACACACACTACGAGTGAAACACACACAACGAGTGAAACACACACTACGAGTGAAACACACACTACGAGTGAAACACACACTACGAGTGAAACACACACAACGAGTGAAACACACACTACGAGTGAAGCACACACTACGAGTGAAACACACACAACGAGTGAAACACACACAACGAGTGAAACACACACTACGAGTGAAACACACACTACGAGTGAAACACACACACTACGAGTGAAACACACACTACGAGTGAAGCACACACTACGAGTGAAACACACACAACGAGTGAAACACACACTACGAGTGAAACACACACTACGAGTGAAACACACACTACGAGTGAAGCACACACAACGAGTGAAACACACACTACGAGTGAAACACACACTACGAGTGAAACACACACTACGAGTGAAGCACACACTACGAGTGAAACACACACTACGAGTGAAACACACACAACGAGTGAAACACACACACAACGAGTGAAACACACACTACGAGTGAAGCACACACTACGAGTGAAACACACACTACGAGTGAAGCACACACAACGAGTGAAACACACACTACGAGTGAAACACACACAACGAGTGAAACACACACAACGAGTGAAGCACACACGAGTGAAACACACACAACGAGTGAAACACACACAACGAGTGAAACACACACTACGAGTGAAACACACACTACGAGTGAAACACACACAACGAGTGAAACACACACTACGAGTGAAACACACACAACGAGTGAAACACACACTACGAGTGAAACACACACTACGAGTGAAACACACACAACGCTGCTCTGGAGGTATCGAGGTCGTTGTCGCGCACGGCAGCCGTGTACAGTAACCCGACTACCGTCCGCGGAACAGTGATATTACTTCGCCCCTCGACATTCACCGACGATCGTGTACTTGCTGCAACTATTCAGGACAATATGTCATCACCGAGATATTGCGGTTTACGCATGTACTTCTACAGGGACTCCTGTACTTACGAGCAATTCGACTTACGAACTTTCAGAGATACGAACAAACCCTGTCCCGTATGTCCAGTTGCCTGTTCGGACCGAGAGTCGTAAGATCGACCGACGCGAAATAGATGGTGGTGGCGGCATCTACATCGACACAACGTGAAGAACCAGTGGCATCTACATCCACAGGAGGTTATACAACTTTTAAAGCCATTCCCCGTGTTTAGTGTACATGCTGTACAACACGTTTGGTATCGACAGGAGTAAAGTTGGACTTACGAACAAATCAACTTACGAACAGACCTCTGGAACCTAACTCGTTCATAAGTAGAGGAGTCCCCGTATGTTGACCTTTTCTCGCACCGCACGTAGCCAACTGTGTTAGTCGGAGGTGCGGGGGAAGGATCACAAACTAATGCACATACAAGGAGTGTGCAGCCATGCGGCATGTGGCTATTTTTAAGGCCTGTTTCGTGGCGGTATTCACATTGCATTGCTGCTCTTGAAATATTGAGGGTCAATATAATAACTTTGTTTTTTTTTTTTACCAAAATCGAAAATAATGCCTCCTCTTGTTATTTTGGTTCCCGACCCCTGCCATAGACCGACCGTCGGGGTCGGCTAAGCCAGGTGGATCGAGAGACGACAAAGACGAGTTCTCGTGCCAACTCGTACAACCAGAGAGAAGGCTCCAGACTCGACGCTCTGTCTCGCTTTGACCGCGTCCGGAGGAGGGTCGACGCGTGAACACCGCAGCGGCTGTTCACCTCCCGGCAGTGCCCAAGTCGTTGCACCAGGCCATACCACCAAGTCTCCCATCGCACGTTAAAACTAAACAACTCAACAACAATTTGTTTGTATTGTACCACAAGGCCGTAGCCATGGAGTCAACATTGGGGGGGACCAAAAATCTTCCAGGGGGTGTGGGGGTCCCCCCCCCCCAGAAAAAAAATCTAAATTTGAAAACTAATTTCCTGCCTAAAATATTTTAAAAAAATCACTAACACATAGGATTGACTTTTTGTTTATTTTTTTACAATCATGTCTAATAGTGTATTGAATTACATTGCTCTGTTTTTACTTTTTTTTACCTTTTCTTGTTTCATTGTATGTAATGGCAGAGATGAGGGATTAATAAAGTACAACCTTAACCACAATCATATAAACATAAATCTATTTTATATTTCATAGCAATATATTGGGGGGGGGGGGCATTTTGAGCATATATATTATAATTACGGCCTTGTTGTACCAGGTAAAGTCCACTGAGCGATGTAGCTCTTTGTCAGAAGCGACACTCGCTATAACAAATGATAGCTCAACGAAGTGCCTTATTATTATCGTGTGGACATTCATAGCAGCCAAACACTCTAAACGCATGACGTTGTTTCTAAATGTGGAGGGGAAAAACCGGAGGATCCGGAGAAAAATCCACGCGACCACGGGGAGAAAGAGAAAGAGAGAGACACTTCAAATTCCAAATATACAGCAGGCGTCAGGGTCGGGATCGAACTCATGCCCTCTTCCATACCAGGCGAGGTTTAGGGCTGACCCCGGCTCACTGGGGGCATCTAGAGGCGGGGGATGTGGGCCGAAACTCACTCGTGGGCTCACACCGCCCAGACACACTTCTACAAGTGTGTCTGGGCGGAACGCTTCCCGAATTAAATTAAATGTAAAATAATTCACCGCTCACCCCGGCACACACGGGGAGACAGTTAATGGTTTAACAAGTGCCCGCATCACCGCATCTCTCCTTCACGAAGGGACGCTCGGGTAGAACGCACGCAGATTACGCCACCATCGTCACCTCCGACTAACACGCTCGCCGGCTACGTACGGCGCGAGAAAAGGTCGAACAAGCGGACGTGCACCATCGGGGGTGGGATACAGGCCGGTCTGGCAGTCGCCGATTCTCAAGGCTGGGCGAAGGGGCAATAGAATAACCCCGGAGGGTGGGGGCACGTGGATTGACATCATCGCGATCACATCAGGGATTAAAGAGGAGGGGGGGAGGGGGCTTTGAGACCCCCCTAGCGTTGCTCACCTGAGTCGTGGGGGGGGGGGGGCATTGAAGGTGGAGAGGCAGGAAAGGTTGAAGGGAAAATGCGGGGTATTTGGGGCATTTCCCAGGCGACTCTGTGTTATGGGGGGTTTTGTTTGTCCTATAAACACCGACAACGAACAACCACGCGCGTCTAGGAGCTCTCAACGTATCCTAGAGAGCAAGGCCGTAATTATCATATCCCCCCCAATATTCAAATATGCTCAAAATGTCCCCCCAAATATATTGCTATAAAATAGATTTCTGTTTATATGATTGTGGTTATGGTTGTACTTTATACATTCCTAATCTCTGCCATTACATACAATGAAACAAGAAAATGTAAAAAAAAATACAAAACAGAGCAATGTAATACAATAACACTATTATTATAGTCCATCCTATGTGTTAGTGAATTTTTAAATATTTCAAATTTAGATTTTTTTTTCTGGGGGGGGGGACACCCAGACCCCCTGGAGGATTTGGTCCCCCCCCAATGTTGACTCCATGGCTACGGCTTTGCTAGAGAGCGTGTTCGCGTCTTCGTACGCCAGGGTGTACGTGCGAGGAGGCGGAAGCGCGCTGGTTTTGCGCACACTGCTCTCCGAATTGGGTGGCCCGATTTGGCTTCCCGCTCACGGTCAACATCGGTGACATGTGTGTGGGTTCATCGTGTGCCTCCCCGTGGCCGATTCGGCCGTAAATGATGACTGTGTCTCGTGCGTTGTGTAAACATCCACGTTGGAGAGACAAAGGCGGACGGGCGTGGTACTAGCCACCCACTCCCTCGTGTGCTGGCCTCGATAGGTGCTGTTTAACAGCACTTGCCCTAAGTCTGTTAACATCAATACGGGTGACCTTTTTCTTTGCATTTGTTCATGCTTGAGAGAGTGTATGTACATGTGTATGTTTGTTTTAGAGTGCTCGAGTGTATGTTGTTGTTGAGTGTATGTTGTTATTGTTGAGTGTATGTTGTTGTTGAGTGTATGTTGTTGTTGAGTGCATGTTATTGTTGTTGAGTGTATGTTAGTTTAGGTTAGATAGTGAAAGAAAGTGTGTATGTTTGTGTAAGAGAGAGAGTGAGTGTATGTGCGTGTGTGTTCCGGGCTTCCGCAAGCGCTCGCTAACAGCACACAACACTTGCCTACCAACAGCGCACATCGGCTGCGCAGTGGGGTGCCTTTATCTGTAGCATTGTGTGAGAGAGCGAGAGAGCGGACGCGTGTGAGTGAGTGCTTGTGAACAGGATGCCAACCCACGTGTCTCTCGCCGACCCAGCACAGAGGATCCGTTCTAGCAGGAGGGGCGGAACAAACTTCAGACACGGACTTGTGTGTTGCTGCTGCTGCTGATGATGATGCCGATGATGATGATGATGCGTGTTGATTGTTCGAAGGCATTGCTGGGAAGTCAATGATCACTTGCAAGAACAAGCAACATGTTATGTAAGTCATTGTTCCATATGTTCACATCGAATGCGCGTTCAGCTTGACACACACACGCACACGCATTCTCTGTGTAAGCTTCGACATCCGTATATGTCTCGCACAGTGCGCGCAGCTTTGATTGTTCATCGCCACTATCGCCGTGCAGTCTCGGCCCCTCCACTGCCGCGTGACGCTGCCATCCCTCCACGACCCTGCGATGTCAGTTCACAAGCCACCCAAAAGCAGCTACGCGCGAGACGATTCCATCGCTCCATCTCCGCTGCGGCGAATTTGTCCGCCGCGACTCGGTCGTCAAGATGTGCCGCCCGCCGCTGGCCCCGCGTGCCCCCCCCCCGCCCACTCCGCGCCCTAAGCCGGGACGTGTCCTGCCCAAACCCCGCTGCGACGCCGCCCATCGCGGACAGAATTGCGCCTCCGAACATCTGCACGGTGTTCTCCGGCAAGCCACGTGCTCGGTTTCCTCCTCGCCCTCTCTGCCAAAGTCCCAAAGATTGCGTCTCGCCCCCCGCGCATCTTTGTTGCACTTTTTTTTAATTCCTGACCGCGTTGCACTTGATATGTTCACGTGCCTGGCCCGTGTACCAAAAAAAATGGATAAAGACGCAGCCCTGCAATTTCTCGCTCACGCCACTGCCAGAGCGAGGGCCTCTTGCTCCCAAGCGAACCCGAGAGACGCTGTTTGACCGACTAGTCCCACGTGCGTTGCCCAGACGTGTCGGAAGCGGTGGCAGTTTCCACACTTTACCCCACCAAACGCGTTCCTGCCCATCGACTAACTGTAGTTGTTGCCGATGTTTAACTCTGGGTGGACAGAGGAGGCGGCGGTGTCTGCGGGTGATTCGAGAGACTCGCATTGTTCGAAAGAGAGACGTAATCGACCCAGCGATGACACCTGGGGATTGTACATTGTGCCGACCATTAACACACAGCTCCCTGCTGTACGTGAACGTCTGCCTGGATGCGGTGTATAGGAGGGACACGTGGATGAGAGAACGTACGCAGGATATTATTATTATTATTTATTAATTACGACGACGCTTGTTTACCCAGGAAAGCCTCAACGAGTCTTGGTGACATCAGTCGGGCAAGTGAGTGGGGCCATGGGGTAGGGCAGGGCACGTCACGGCCGACCCGTCAAGCGTAATGACGGAACGACCACGGCCACGGGTGGGAGCGGAACGCGTCCCGAGAGTTCCGACCATCACGGAGGAGATGGAGCGATGCGAATCAGAGGATCGTGAGATATTGCGGCGGCCTTCATCCAGCAGTGGATTGATCATGGCTGACGATGTGTGATACCAATACAGAGATTGTAACGTTTACGCATGGTGAATGTGGAATATGTTCTGCTATAGTACCTGCCATATACTAAATGACATGATATCCGTGTACAAGCAGTCCCCCAGATAAGAACGTCCGACTTACGAACACCCGCACTTACGAACGAACCGCCATATGATTAAACTATTTTTAGCCATCCGACTTGCGAACGCTCGGTCGTACTTACGAGCCGACCCGGGGAACTGGTTTGTTCGGCAGAGAATCCCGCTTGGAGAGTGTGAAAGTGATTACGTGTGGGGAGTGGTCGTGTAGTGGGTAGCGCGCTGTGCTATGAACCCGGCGGCCCGGGTTCGATTCCCACTCACCAACACCAGTGACGATTATCTGAACCGGTTCTGGGCCTCCCCTAGGTCGACTCAGCCTCAAACGAGAACCTGGTGCGGTGTGTAAACATCGTCACTGGGGAGACAAAGGCGGTCAGGTGTGGTGTTGGCCACCCACCCCCTCGTGTGCCGTGCCGGCCTTTATAGGTGCTCGCTAACAGCACTTGCCCCTACAGTCTGTTACAGGCTATACGAAGGATCTTTGTAGTGGTTAGCACGCTGTGCTATGAACTCGGCGACCCGGGTACGATTCCCACTCACCGACAGCGGTGATAATTATCTGAACCGTTCCTGAACTTCCGCTAGGTCGACTCAGCCTCAAATAAGTACCTGGTATGGCGTGCCGGCCTTCATAGGGGCTCACTCACAGCACTTGCCCCGACAGTCTTATTATAATGGCTATATGATGGAATCTTTGGCCTTGTGCGCGTGTGCGTGTGGGCAATTGTGGAGACTCATTAATCCCCTTCCGACAAGCAAGCCAGCATCAGGACTCAAGGTAAGTGAAAGTAAAGCCTTATTTTTCATGTTACTTTAGCTCATGTTTGATTTACTATAAAGTATTTATTGCAGTATTATGTGCAAATGTCCAATTATTCTTATTTATGAGTTTAACAATGTTTCTCTTTTTGTTGACCCATAACACGTTTTAGAACACTGACCCATGTACAATTAAATATTGAGTTTCAAGATTAGAACAACTCGACGTACGAACGGGTCTCATGAATGTAACCCGTTCATAAGTATATCGTCCGCGATATTTATATTTACGTAGCATGATCAATTGTAAAAAAATAAAGGATATCTCAGGATACTTTAAAGCTAAAATTTAGTTCCAAAGTGTCGTTAAATAATGACGAAAATAAAAATGTACAGCCTGATGTCAACCCGCTGCTGGATTAAGGCATCATCCACAAGCTGTCAGTCTTGGTTGTTGTTTGATTATACTTCACCACCTTGGTCAGTGGAACTCTCGGACAGTGTTGACATCTTAAATCCTCTCCGTTTAACAACTTTTGGTCTAATTAGGGTTGTTCCTTTTTGGCTATGAATCAGCCAGCCTGCTATTACAGTTCTTTAACAGCCGTCTCCTTTTCATTCCCGGTGGCTTAAGACTTTTTTTTGGAGAAAGGCCCCTCCTTATGAGTGCATATTGACATTGTTGTTGGTATTATTAGTATTAAAACCCCGAAGCCATATTTGGAGGGCTGCGTGATACAACCTGCGCATCAGCGCATCTGGGCGTCCGTGTGTTTCTCTGACAGCCCTGCCGCTCGGTGCCGACGATCCGGAGTTTCGTATCACAAGACCACATCCCGTGTTGTGTAAAGCTCCCGTTCAGCTCGCCGGGATTTTATTACGTAAACAGCCAGCCACGCTCTTAGGCTCACTTAGGTCACCGGCGTTTTCAGCTTATTGCGGTAAAAAAATATATTCTGGACAATGACATTCAGAAACCCATGGGTCTATCCAGTGCTGCATCACAGGGCCTCGTGAGCCTGCAATGCCACACTCCGTCTCACTCCTGCGCGCAAACGTATTTCATCGCTATTCCACATATATACGTATATACACCCACTCACTGTACGCAAGACGGTGGGTCTCTATGCGAGTCTATGGGTCTCTCAGCAAGTCTAGGGGTCTCTCAGTGAGTCAAAAGTCTATCGGTTTCTAAATCAATTAATGGATATCTGAGTATATGGTTCTCTATTTTAGTCTATGGGTCTCTAGGTAAATTTATGGGTGTCTACGACAGTTGTAAGTCTGTGGATCACTATGCGAATCTATGGGTCTCCGTGCAAGTCATTGACAACCGGGCTGAGGTCATCACCTCGCTACATTTGAGAGCCCAGTTTAACCACAGTCGTCTTGAACCTGGATTCGAACCTAGAACCTCAGCAGTAATGGCTCAGCACTCTGACACCCCGAGCCACTCAGCCACTTCGGTTACCACTTAGTGTGTTTGAAATCTGGCCTACAGTGGGAAACCCGACTGGATATTTGGTTGAATGACAATTCTGTATGCGAATTAGCAATACCACATCGCAGGCAGCATTGCTATTTACTACTATATACTATTCTAGATTTCGTGACTGCAAGGATCCATACTCTTTGGTTCTATTGGGTAAAGTCACGGTAAAAAAATAAAATAACAAAAATCACGACGTTTCGGCCACAACACAAGCGGCCTTGATCAGGTGAAGGGACGAGACTGTCTGGAGAACAGCGCTGGAGTGAAAAAAGCCACGCTCAGATCACGACCTTTAAGCTGTGTGAAAAGAAACAAAGCGCCTTGACAAAGGAATTAGCATATAATTTAGCATTGAAATGGCTGAGTGATTAGCTTGTGACTGGTCACAGAAATGGCTATGTTAAAGTTAAAGCATACACATCCGCAAAGGCACCACTTGACAAAGGAATTAGCATAGAATTTAGCATTGAAATAGCTAAGTTAAAGTATACACATCCGCAGAGGCACCCCTTGACAAAGGAATTAGCATATAATTTAGCATTGAAATAGCTGAGTGATTCGCTTGTAACTGGTCACAGAAATAGCTATGTTAAAGTCAGAGCATATACATTCACCGAGGCACCTAGTACAAATCAAACAGGAGAATTTAGCGAAACACAACCATGCTCAGACCGCGGACCTTTAAGCTGTGTGCGAGCAAACAAGGTGTCCTGACAAAGAAATTAGCATAAAAATTAGCATTTGATTGGCCGATTTTAGAAAAGAGGTGGTGTACGTGCCGGTGGACTTGCCGTTTGGCGCGGTGGGGGGGGGGAGTTTACCTATTGATGGTGTGAAAAGGGAATTTATAAGAGCTGCGAAAGTTTGGGGTACCACTACTTGAAAAATATACTGTACCATTGAAATGAGTTTAATGTTTAGTTCAATTTAGAACATCTTTCCAATGGTTGCTTAATTTGAAACCATCTTCTCGTTTGAAATTGTGTCTGTGTTTGTAGATCTGAATTGCCTCGTGAATAAATCTCTGATAAAAACCCGTGGGTTTGCAAAGAACCTTGGTATCAGAGACAATTATATCGTGATCACCCACAGCGTTGTAACAGTGATCAGCCACGGCAGAAGAATTCGTTTTGCTGTGTTTTAAATCTGATTTGTGCTCGCGAATTCGGTCAGAGACATGTCGCTTTGTCTCCCCGATATAGCAATCACCGCAGGTACAACTCAATTTGTAAACCCCGGGATACTGTAAGTCAGGAATGACATCCTTCACGGATGGGATCAGATCACGAATTTTGTGTACTGTATTGAACCGGACCTGGATCTTGTGTTTGTTTAGAATTTTGGAAATCTTTTTAGTAACG